TGGCTCGTATTCGCAGTGAGAGTAGGACTAGTTTGGGCTATATAAAGATTATTTTTTTCGAATTGTGACTTTCAAGACAACTAATGGAATTTTTCCGGAACATCCAGCTTTCTTTTTTCGATGTTACTATGTGCAATTATAAATATATATATATATATATATATATATATATATATATACATATATAAGTATAGGAATTAAATTTGGTAGATTAATCCTTTTGTAAACTTAATAAAATATTTTTAAGAAAAACAATATTGGGGTCACAAAGGTAATAATAAAAATATTTAATTTAAATCTAATTACAGCCAAACATTAACTCACACAAATTCATGGTTGGTACTGCAGTGTCAGCTTCTTTTATTGTAAGCTTGGGGTATGAAATATGATTTTTTAAAATGTTCGGAGCAAATGGTGCTAGTCCGTTTGGGTATCCAAGATTCATGGTTTCTACAAGCTACAATCCAAGTTTGTTGCCTAAAAGGATCCTTTAGAAATCTGTCAAACAAACTAATAATAGAAAAATGACTACTTTTTGTAATACTTTACTGTAAAAGCTAAATAAAAACTACAAACCGGTTCGGCAGACAAACCCGCATGGTTAACTAACTTATCGATAGCTAAAGTTGTGGCGTCCATCGCTATAGTGCAATACTTTCGGTTGCAGTGATACCAGTTTATTTTTATAAAAATTGCACACTTTTGCGAAGTAGCAAGTTTCGATTTGACTTATTTTGCCTTTATTTTGTATAATATTTTGATAAATACTAGTTATCGTTTATATTAAATTATATAATATTCAGTATCTTGTTGAAATTGTGCTGAATATATAAATCATTTCACAAAATCCACTACACATCTATATGAAGTGATTATTATTCATCACAAACTGATTTAGTTATTATAGGAAATATATTTTCGTAATATATTTAACTTGTGTAGTAATTTATATTCATTTAAAAATAGATTATTTTTCACTTTATGAACTATGATGGCCACACTTGGTATTGGATGAAAATATTCACAAAGTACGAGTTTTAATGATAAAATTATGTTAAAAATACTCACAGATGAAAAGTCACATTGTCCTTTTGTATACTTGACGTTTTTGATTGTTTCTTTCATGTAACTACACTGCAATTCGGCATTTTGTCGGAGCTCGATTTACTGGCACGATCACTTTGGAATGACGCACGACGCGGAGCAACTAGTTTTATATAACGAGTATGAGTCGGACTCTCGTACCTTTTACAGAGGGGTATGCCTTGCGAGGCCGTCTCCTTTGGTTTAATACTCAAAGAACATCATTCATCAATCATGTGTTTCCACAATGAGGGGAAATTCCCCTTTTGAGGGGAAATTAGGGTCCAGAGTTAGTTTTTTTAAAACCTACTAAAGGTACTCTGTATATGAAATAAATAAATTCGGATTCGGATGATTTGGACCAGAAAAAAAAATTTTATTCGAAAATTATTGCATATAATCAAAAATTAAAAACCATAAAATTGCCGTTTTCTGTTTCTTCAAAAATCTCCTCTTCAGGTCTTAAGAAAGGGGGTGCAAAGTTTTTATGTAAATTATTATAATAAAAAGTACCTTCGTATTTTGTTTGTATAAAATTGAAGAAAAATCTCTTTGCTTTACTGTTTGTATCTGGCTAGTTTTAATATCAATACTTTTAAGACAGTAAGAAAAATAAAAAGTAAAAAACATTTATATGGTGGGATTGGAAGGGTATCGTTTATTATCAGCTTTTACCGCCGGACAAAACCATCGATTCGGATCTCTACTACCAACAACTAATGAGACTCAAGCAAGAAATTGAGAAAAAACCGGCCGGAATTGATCATAAGAAAAGGAGTGGTCTTTCTTTATGATAACCCCAGACGATACACATGTTTGGCCATTCAGCAAAAATTTAGAGAGCTTGGGAAGTGTTAATGCATCCACCATTATAGTCCCGACCTTGCAACCTCAGATTTTCACCTGTATCGGTCTCTTGAGAATTCTTTGGGTAGTCTTAGGTTAACACCAAGAGAAGACTGCCAAAACTACTTGTTGCATTTTTTAAATCAAAATCCCAAGATTTATACAGCAACGGGATTATGTCACAAGATGGCAACAAGTTTACATTTTAACATTACGTGCTATGTTATAGTTGTAGCACGAATGGGACTGGACCACACTCTCACAGTTTACCAGCGTAAAATAGCAGCGTAATGCTGCTGTGTTTCGTATGGTGAGTGTAGAGAACCGGAGACCCTTATTACTGGAATCGAGGCATTCCATCTTAGTCCTCAGGGGTGACAAAGCATTTGCATTTTGATCCTTAATTGAGGATAAATGTGGATGTCTATGGGCCACAGCATCCACCCACCATCGGGTGGGCTGTGTGCTCATTTGTCACCCAATGCTATAAAAAGTTATCGAACAAAATGGCACATAGGTATATATATTATAATTAAATTTAATTAAACTTAGATAAAAATGTCTTGAATTTATATATAAAATACGAAGAAACTTCTTTCCCGACCTAATTTATATGCGAAAGTTTGAATCTTTGCTACGCTTTAACGTCAAAACTGCTGTTTGAATTTGTATGATATTTTGCACACTGATAGAGCTCGACCAGGGTAGGATATAAGATACTTTCATCCCGGTAAAAGGATCCCATGGGATAATTTTCAATGTTGGTGGAAGCTGCTAAAAATAAACAATGACTAAGTAGATTAGAGTTAGTACTCGTAATATATGTACTTAGAGCATTGATATATAAAAAAACCCTACACTAAAACGAATTAGATGATTTTATTCTAACAATTATGTTTATGTTCTGGAGGTGGAAGAAATTTTTGTGATTTCAGTTTGAGCCGTTCGAGATTTGTTGGTTCAGGGGCAAAAAGTTAAAAGTCAAAAATTATTTATTAAACTAAGATATTATACATTTTTGAATGTCGTTCATGGAGGCCCCCTTGAGCTTGGGGGCCCCGGGGCACTGCCTCGCCTAGCCCCAAGGCAGTGACATAAAATAGTTTACCAAAATTGGCAGTTGAATGAATTTGCGTCTGCCCTCAACATTATTTTTCAAAAAAAAATTTTCAATACCGTACAGTATCCGTGGAATCGTTAGAATTAATGGTGGTCAATATAGCGCATAGTGCCATATTATAGCGCGCTATCTCTTCATAACGCATAGCGCGTGCTATGTAAGTAGTCGCCTTGGCGCCATGACGCTATGACGCTTTGGCGCTATTCATATCAAGCGGCAATTAGTTCTAGCAGCAGCGCTGTTGGGAGTAGACGTATGACGCAAATTTAATCTAGCAGCACGCTATATATCGCGCGCGAACTAATTTAGTGTTAAACGTTATTTAGTTAGTGTATACTGTATATTTATAAGTGATCGAAGGACACAGTTGTCTGCTACATAAGAAGCCTAACTAATGTTTTTAAATGTAAATAAAATATAGATACAAAAGTGTATATAATAGTGTTTGTAAGTAGTTGCTTTTTGTATATACAATCAAAAAAATTTTAAATACACCTTTGATTTATGATTTATATTAAGGTTAAAATAACGTTTACATCAATTATAATAAACAATGATTAATTTTATTTTGTTTTAAAAAGTACAGTCCTTAAAAATATTTTTAGGATTATAAAAAGTCGTAAGCCTGAAAAGTATGAAAGAGCATTCTGTAATTTTTCCTTACCACTTTATTTTATTTTAATCTAAAATAAGACTTATTACGAAATAATGTTTTTTTTTTATATAGCACGCGGTCTATCCAATGAACGACATGTAATGTAGCGTGCTCCGAGATATAGCGTGCTGCTAAACTTAACGCGCTTGCCGTCCTCCTACATACTTATTTTTATAAATAGCGCGCTATAACATAGCGTATTTAATAGCGCGCTAGAAATTTCTAGTTTATAGTCTCTAGCGTGCTATTGATTTATAGTCATTTTGAACAACTTTAGTTAGAATCCATATCTGCAAGGAGACTTTGATTTCTCCATTCCTTGTCTAGTTCTGTTAAATCCACAGTAATGTGTGAACATTGGCGTTAAACATGAATAGAAATTATGTCAAACAAACGCCTGCTAACAAATCAATCCTTATCAAACGAAACATCTTGAATTGCAACGTATTTATTTAGGTGTGGATGCAACTCATTTATTAACATAGGTGGAAAATAAAGAAAAAGAAAACTGTGAAGTTCAAAAAGTTTTTCAGACGGCAAAAATGTTTTATATTGAATCGATCGTAGAGATTAAGAAACGATTTGTATTTGAAGATGTGCACAATGATTCGTCTTTTTTAAATCCTAAAGAAATTGACAGCCAGTGATGTGCAGTTACATCAAACTAGTGATGAGCAAAGTTGACAGGGTTTTTCGATGTTTCAGCGCAATTTTACTCTGTGGTACCTATGCTTGGTTATTATTTGATATGTATCATCCAATTATAAGTGTAAACGCACCCTTTCTTTTAATTTTAACAACCCTTTTTTAATTTTTTTTTTGTGTACCAAGAATTTTTAAAATAAAAAAAAAAAAAAACCAAAAAAAAAAACACAATGATATTATAAGGTTGAATGAGCAGATTTTTACTACTAGTGCTAAAACTACAGCAGAATAATTTGTGAGGGGAAAAAAGCCCTGAGAAGGGGAAATCTCAATTAAGGCGTGGGGAAAAGAAATCATAAAGTAGAAACACTGTCATCATTCAATTTCAAACTTCGCTTCGTTTTGGAATAATTATGTAGTTAATGTTTATTTTGAATAAATAAAATTATGAACCCGCACGACGGACTCAAATCAATTACTAAGATTTTAAAAATTACATCATTATTGGGAAGCGGCGCTTTGCTAATTGCGTACCACATTAGGCAGACATGTCAATCTCTAGAAAAAATAGTCAATTCTAGTGTACTCGATGCCGAGAAAAAATTTACGCCAGAATATATATATATCGATGATCCGCAATTTAAACTAAATATGGAAAAGGCTAAAGAGACAACGCGGTCAATAGGCTTAGCGCGTATATGGAAAAGCTTACGACATTCATTAGCATGTAGACTTCTTTGGTTGTGCCGACATGGTAATCAAGATCAGCGTAATTTAGCACTTGAACATTTAGCCTCCTTCAAAAATAATAAAGTTTGGGATTGCTTGAAAATAGCACAAGCGCTGGACAAAAATACTGCAGTGTTACTTGCACGCACACCTGGTGCAGATTTACGATACTTTTTGCCTCCTCCAATCCACATACGAAGAGCTGCATTAACGTCGGAGCTTATGTCATTCAAATTTCGTGATATGATTATTGCTGTTCAGAAGATATGTCAACATAGTTGTATTAAATACTTTTTGTCTAAGTATTTTGCTAATTTTCAAGAACAGGCTATGGAGGCTGATAGTATACCGGCAAAACCTGATAGTATCAGTGAACGTGATTTATGTATGCTTTGTCTTGATGCATTATACCATCACATTCTTCTGTTTCACTCAAAAGACTATGAGGATGATAAATCATCTTCAACATTAATTGAATTGGGCTTATTGCCCCGTCTAGCGGAGCTGTTATTAAGATATCATAATGATAATGAATTAGATCTTGCAGTGCTGAAGATTCTTACAGTCCTAAGTATGCACACATGTTTACTAAATGATTTTTTTCAAAATGGTTTAATTGGAGAACTTTCTAGATTATTAAGATCTGAGGATGTTCGCTTGGCAAGTTCTGCTGCTGTATGTCTTGCTAATCTATCAGGAGAACATTGCTTTAGACCTGGTTTGTACCTTTTGCATCCTTTGTATAGAACAAGAAACAAACATGCATGTGATACTCTCCTGGTACATGGTTTGAGAGGTGGCGTATTTGTCACATGGCGCCAAAGAGATCCAAAATGTGCTGAGCCTTTAGGTATTTCTGAAGTATCAATGTCTGATATTAAATGTATTGAACCTTGTGGTGATACTTCAGTTGATACTCCTGTTGATAACAAATATCTAGATCCTGAACATCAACAAATATTTGAGGACTTTACTGAGTTAAATGAGGAATCTCTATTATCAAAAATTGAAGTCTTATTACAAGATATTCCCATAGAAGCTAAGAGAGAACCAGCAGATGTAAATGTGTATTCTGCAATTAAAAAGCAGACAGCTTTAATTCAGGAGAAAGAAGATCATTGCAGTTATACTTTTTGTTGGCCTAAAGATTGGTTGCCTAAAGACTGTAAAAATCTGAGAATTTTAGGTGTCAATTACTGGAGTTCACTATCTGATTGGTTGGAAGGATGTCCATTACAGAGTGCAGATATTGCAACTAGGGCTGCAGAGCTGGCACCAGCATTAATTGATGCTGAAGTCGGAAAGAAAAATGTTCCAGTTATTTGGTTGGCTCATTCAATGGGTGGTCTCATAGTCAAACAACTTCTTATTGATACTTCTGGAAGTGAAGATAGTTTTAAACGACTTTGTGAGAATACAAAAGCTGTTCTGTTTTACAGTACACCACATAAAGGAAGTGCCCTTGCCAAGATGCCCCGCGCAGCTGCTGCTGTGCTATGGCCGTCACATGATGTAAGGCAACTGCAAGAAAACTCTCCTATTCTTTTAAAGATACAAAAGGAGTTCCTTCAACTAGCTGATACTTATTCATGGGAAACTATTAGTTTTGCTGAAAGTAAGCCAACTCTAGTCACATCATTTAAAGTTCCTATACATTTTGTACCATCTCATTCAGCAGACTTGGAGCGAGGTGTATTTTATGAATTACCTCTAGATCATTTAACAATTTGTAAGCCAGCAACCAGACAATCAATTTTATATACTACGGCACTAAATGTAATTCAAAGAGCCACATCTAACAATTATGAATTAAAACATTCAAATCCTTATATTATAAAGCTGTTTGACTTATTTTGGGGGAATATGAGAAGGAAGGCAAATGAAGTAATAGAAAATATAGATGACACAAACAATAATCGTCAATTTAAATGGTTTGAAAGAATCTTACTAGAAGCCTTTACTGATTCTTATTCAGACTAACTTTATATATTCATGTCTGTAATTTGTTTCTACCAAAAACAATTTTTTTGATTAGTTTGTAAAAGCATGAAACATATTCCCCTTGAAGCAATTCACTTTGTTATATATTCATTTAATTTTATTAATTATCGATATTGTTTTAAAAGGTTGTACAAAATTTAATATTTTATGATGTGACTTACACTTTTTTGAGTTTTGTTAAATCATTTTTATTGCAGTACTTATTTGGTAAATCATAAGTGATTAAAAACTTAAAATTTAATATTTCTTAGATAAAGGTCTTTTATTTTTGACTTTTTATTATATTACCAAACAATCATTTAAGCTAATATTCTACGTATGAAGTACAGGGTTTATTAGTCTAGGGATAGGATAGTAGTATAGATATATAAGTAGAACAGTATTAAGATAGTACACCACAAGGCAAATAGAATACGAGTCATTTTATTTATTGGTTTGTTTGTCATAGTGTTATTAATTTGACCACCAAAATACTTGAAATTTTTTTATCATTAAAGTTTCTTTATTTAATTTGAATGTTTATTGCAAATGATTTTAGTTTAATAAAAATGCTAAAATAATTTGTCTCTTACTTTAAATTCCCAGTAGCTGCCTGGAGTCAGGATGTTGGTGGTGTCTCACCCCAGTGTCCCAGAAAGCAAGTAAAGCCGTTGGTCCTGCGCCTGATCTCTCTCTGGTCGTTTCGGTTTAACATCCCATCGGATTATAAGTGAGGAAATAGAGAGCACCTGTGCTTGCGCATACACTTGCGCACTATAATCCTGTCCTGCGCCGATGGCTAGTCTCCGTTGAGGCTGGCCGTCGTGACCGAAATTCGAGCTGGAGGACATTCTTATTATATAAATTATATATTGTGAATATAAATGTCAAGGCACTGGCGTAGCTATGCAATCATGGGCCCCAGGGCAAAAATTAAATTAATTACTATTTGAATTAAACTAAATATGTAAGGTGCAAAACTACTTCATCATTAGCTTTTTATCGCCCACTGCAGGGCATAATAAAGCAAAGCTACTTACTACTAAGTAGTATGTGTAACACAACAGATAATGTTTACTAGTATTTCCAAAGCTGTATATTATATAAGAGAGGATGCCCCGAGTGACTGAGTGATTTACCAATACACAGCCCAAACGCTATACGTAGAAATCTGAAAATTGGGCAGTAGTTGTCTTTTTATAACATAGACATCCACTAAGAAAGGATTTAGGAAAATTTAACCTCAAAGGGGGTAAAATAGGGTGTTATAGTGATTTTGTTCCTACAAAGACTTACTAAAACTTACTAAAGATACTCTGTATATTAAATAAATGAATTCGGATTTAGCGTTTTTTTGAAAACGACCCATTACCGTCCGGGGCCAGAGAAAAATTAATCAATGTTTTTTTTTAAATTTGAAAATGATTGCATACACTTAAATTAAAAATAATAAAATTGACATTTTTGGTTTCTTCAAATGTCTACTCTTACGGTCCTAAAAAGGGGGTGCAAAGGTTTTTATGGCAAAATTATACTAAAATGTTTCTTTGTATTTTGTTTGTAAATTGAAGAAAAATCTCTTTTGTTGTACCGTTTGTATCTGACAGGTTTTAGTATCAATACTTATAGGACATTAAGAAAAATAAAAATAAAAAGTAAAAAAACATTTTGTATGTTTGGATTAAAGGGAATCGTTTCTTATGAGCTTTTACCGCTGGGCAAAACCATCGAATTGGATCTCTACTGCCAACTAATGAGACTTAAGCAATAAATTGAGAAATAACCGGTCGGAATTAATCAACAGAAAAGGAGTGGATCTGGTCATCATGATTATTCCAGATTACACAGAGGCCATTCAGCAAAAATTAAGAGCTTGGGAAGTGTTAATGCATCCACCATTTCAGTACTGACTTTGCGACCTCAGATTTTTACCTGTTTCGGTCTCTTGAGAATTCTTTGGGTAGTGTTAGATTAAAATCAAGAGAGGACTGTCAAAACTACTTGTCGAATTTTTTATGAAAATCCCAAGATTTCTACAGCAACGGGATTATGTTAAAACCTACAAGATAAACAACAAGTTATGGAAAAAATGGCACATAGATAGCAGTGCCCCGCGATTTCACCCGCAGCATGATGTGACACCTATTGGAGTACTTTTATCTATAGGCATATGTACTTAATAAAACGAAGTTAAATTTTATCCACTCTCCCTCCCCCTCACGAATGAGCGTATCCCCCCTCCCTTCTTGTCCAGTCTTGAAGACGAAGTAACTTTCGTTATAAATAGGCATATAATATAATAGGTATCGCGTACTTTTCTTAAGATGTAGTAAAGATCTATATTTTTGTATAACATTTTATTTACGTATTACTATTAGACAGCTAAATAATTCTTGTTTTTACGGATTTTATCGCGTAAGTATATCAACTTTTTTATATTTCCCATGTTTCGAGCACTTTACAGAACCCATGTTTACAGGTCACGGGGGGAGGGGTGGTATGAGATGTTCAACATCCAGATGTCATAGTTAACCGCGGTTACTACAAATTGAAATTACAAATTTTGAAGTTTTGCAGATAGAGAAGATGTCTGGGTGCTACCATCTGCTTGGGATCCAATAATTAATAAAATTAAATCCTAACCCAAGACTTCAAGATACTACGTGTATAATAAGTTCATACTGTGTTAATTGCAACAAAAGTTAATAATTTTAATCTGTGGTAACCGCGGATAACTATGACATCTGGACGTTGCACATCTCAGTCCCCCCGTGACCATGGGTGCTGTAAAGTGCTCGAAACGTCGGGTATATAAAAAGTTAATATGGGCGATAAAATCCCTAAAAACTAGTTTTATTTAAATGTTGTGTAGTGTTCACGTAAATATAAGAAATCATTATGTTGCAGTTATATTATGGTTGTAGCACGAATTTGTCGGCTCGACCGGGGAGGGACCACGCTCTAGTAAAATAGCAGCGTGACACTGCTGTGTTTCGTATGGTGAGTGTAGAAATTCGGAGACCCTTTTTTACTGGAAACGAGGCATTACATCTTAGTCCTCAGAGGTGATAACGCATCTGTATATTGTTTCTTAATCGAAGATAAATGTAGCTGTCTATGGGCTACAGCGTCCACTTACCATCCGGCGGACTGCGTGCTCGTTTGTCACCCTAATTCTATAAAAAAACATTTCGGGAGCGCTTTTTCTTCTGACTTGCTTAACAAAAATCAACATTTAAGGCTAGCTGTGAGGTGTGGCCTAACGATAATAGCTATGCTATTCCTCATGAATCTGGCTATAATATACAAAAAGAATTTTTCAAATCGGCATGGCAGTTCCAGAGATTAGCGTGTTTAAACAAACAAAAAAACAAAAAAAGCAAAAACACTTTTTCGCTTTATTACATTAGTGTAGATGATGTGTATGGAGAAATTTTGGTGATTTCAGTTCGAGCCGTTCGAGGTTTATTGGTCAAGGGTCAAAATATTTAAAAGTCAAAAATTATCATTCAACTAGGATATTACATAATTTTTGAACGTCATTCATGGTGGCCGAGAGACCCCTTGAGGTTGAGGGCCCCGGGGCACTGCCCCGCCTAGCCCCAATGTAGCTTATGTAGCTACGCCACTGTGTCAAGGGCTTCTAAAGGATAAAATTCTAAAGGCCTCTAAGGATCATCATCATCATCATTACAGCCCTTCACAAGTCCACTGCTGAACATAGGACTCCCCCAAGTAATGCCACAAAGCACGGTCCTGAGCCACCTGCATCCATCGACTTCCTGCATATCTTACCTATACTCCATCTAGTGGGGGGTCTAATGCCACTCGAGAACCTTTCTTCCCCATCGGTTATCGGTTCTTCGAGCTATATGGCCGGCCCATTGCCACTTCAGCTTACTAATCCGTTGGGGTATGTCGGTCACTCTGGTTTTACTGCGGATATCCTCATTTCTGAGTCTATCACGCAGAGAAACACCGAGCATAGCCCTCTCCATAGCTCGCTGAGCGACCTTGAGCGTCCGCTTACGGCCAGCAGTGAAGGACCACGTCTCAGATCCGTAAGTCATCACTGGCAACACGCACTGGTTGTACAATCTAGTTTTTAGAGATTGAGGTATACCTGACGAGAAGATATGTCGTAGTTTCCCGAACGCTGCCCAGCCGAGTTGAATCCGTCGATTGACCTCTCGGTCGAAGTTGGACTTACCTAGTCGGACTATTTGTCCCAGGTAAAAGTACTCGTCAACAACTACGAGCATAGTGCTCCCAACAACTACCGGCATTGGTGTGACATGGACATTGAACATGATCTTTGTTTTGTCCATGTTCATCTTAAGACCTATCCGTTGGGAGGCACTATTGAGGTCATTGAGCATAGTGCTTAACTCCTCCAGCGATTCTGACATAAGGACTATATCGTCGGCAAATCGAAGGTGAGTGATGTACTCGCCATTGATGTTAATACCGTATCCTTTCCAGTCCAGTAGCTTGAAAACGTCTTCCAATGTAGCAGTGAAGAGTTTCGGGGATATAACATCACCCTGTCTTACACCTCTCTGCAGTTGGATAGGCTTCGAGCTCTGGTTCTGTACTCGGATAGCCATCGTAGCCCTACTGTACAAACACTTCAGCACTTCGATATACCGACAGTCAACTTGGCACCGCTGAAGCGACTGTAGCACCGCCCAAATTTCGACGGAATCAAAGGCTTTCTCATAGTCCACATACGCCAGGCAAAGTGGCAGATTGTACTCTTCAGTCTTCTGTACAATCTGCCGCAAGATACGTATGTGGTCTATGGTACTGAAGCCTTTTCGGAAACCGGCTTGTTCGGGAGGCTGGAAGTCGTCGAGTCTGCGTGCGAGACGATTCGTAATGACTCTCGAAAACAGCACGTAGACGCGGCTCAGAAGGGAAATCGGTCTGTAGTTCTTCAAGAGAGCGTTGTCGCCTTTCTTAAAGAACAAGACCACCGCACTTCTTTCTGCTCCACGCCT